GACAGAAATATCAGGGAAGCATTCAGATGGGGAGAAATGGGAACCCTTATGATCACACAGATTTGAAGTGGCACATCACTATTCAAAACAGTTGGTGGTACCTGAAAAAGTGAAACATGGAGTTAACCATGTGACCCAGCAGTTCCACTCCTGGCTACCAGCCCAAGAAAACTGAAGAGACCAACACACAAAAATGTTCACAGCTTTATTCATAATAGCCAAAGAGTGGCAACAACCCAATAAGCCACAAGTTCACTAAAACACCCATGCCCCCCACACACACTTGAGCACACATCATGTATATTCATACAGTACCCTGAGTCACAAAAGGCAGTGACATATCAATGCATGTCACATATGGACTTTGACCAAAGCATGCAAAATGAAAGAAGCCAGACACCGAAGGCCACATATGATGATTCCACGTATATAAAATGTCCAGAACAGGAAATCCACAGAGGTAGAAAACAGACCAGTGTTGGCTACATGGTACAGGAAGGAGTTACAGGGAGCAACTGCTTTCCTTGGCAGTGATATAAAGGTAGCAGAATTAGATCATTGTGATGATTGCCAAACATTGTAAATGTGCTTAAAGTCACTGGATTAGGCACTTACTGGTTAAAATGTTGATTTCAGAAACAAATCCAACAACTATAAATTTTCCCAAGAAAATTAAAAGCAGTCAAGAATTCAATTCAGTAGAATATATGCATAAAAAATTCACATAATAGACATTGAGATGATTTTGCTTCTTCCTGTTCCTATTTTTATTAAACTCAATAACCAGAAATTCAGTTACTAAAACAAATAAACTACTGACCTACATTAAAAACTGACATAAACTTTTAAAATACTGATATTTAAATGCAATTAAACAAAAACGTATGCTTTTTTTGAAAACAGTTCACTTGTTCCTCAGTATTCACCTTGGATTGGTTACAGAATCTATATCTTCCACTTGGTGGATACCAAAAATCCACAGATGTTCAAGTTCCTCCTCTAAAAATAGCATAGTGTTTGTATGGATCCTACATACATTCTCTCATATACTTTAAATCACTACTCATAATGTCTGATAAGTAAGTGCCATACAAATAGCTATTACACTATATTCTTCACAGAGAATAACAAAAAGGGAAAAAAGTCTACCATCTTTATTACAACTGTGATTTTTTAAATAAAATTATTTATAGAAATTCACAGTACAGAATTAGGAACATAGTGATACTTCTTTTAAATTATTTCCGTGTTGGTTGAAATCAACAAAAGCTTGGAGCTCATGCATATACAGCTAACTTTATATGCTTCTAAGTGAAAATGACCAGCATTCTTCATCAAACACCAGTAATGTTCTCTAATGGAATTTTAAAAATAAGGCCTAGGAGCAGGTGTTTGGTGTAAGTTGCTACTTGGAATAACTGCATCCCACATCAAGAGTGTCTGCTTGATGTCCTAGCTATTCCATTTAACATCCAGTTTCCTGCTAAGATGTTCAGGGAGGCAGCATATGACGGCTCAGATGCTTTGGTTCCTACCACCAGTTTGGGAGACCTAGCTGGGAAATCTGGGCTACTGGCGTCATCCTGGTCTAACCCTAGCTGTCCTAAGCACTTGGAGATGAAACACCTCTCACTCTGTAGGAGTGCGTCCTTGCTCCTCACCACCACCAATACATAAAATAGAAAAAAATTTTTTAAAAACTTTTTTAAAATGATGTACAGTCAGCTGCTTATTTATTAGGATTTAAACATTTAAATGGAATGCATAAAATTTAAAAATTAACTAACATCAAAAACACATTTTTCCTGAAAATGTTTAAATTAAATTCTTTAAAATGCAAGAAAAGTAATGCCTGCATAGAAACAGATTCTCTTGATTACTGTGTCAGAAATTAATATTAAAACTCAATTTAGCAGGTAAAAAAATTTTTACTTTAGAATTGACACATACCATGAAAACACTTGGTACAGAAATAAGAAACATAACAAGCTACAGCGTTTTATTACGTTCAGTATACTTTGACAAAGGGTTTATACGTAATCACAGCTATTTTTACTCACCCTCCAATAGCCCAGACCCTCTTTCTGTACTCATTTTAGTTTTTCCAAAAGAGCAAAATACTTACGGAAAGTTATTGTAACCAGAAAAATAAGCCTGAATATCCGAAGACAGGTGCACCTGTACCGAACCTAAGAGACTCAGAGGGACTCTATACCACTTTCTATCCCCTCACTCTCACCCAGAGGTGAGAATCAGCTCTAGCTATCTACCAATTGACCTCTTCCAAATGTTTACTTCAAGCTTTAAGATCATTAGATAAACAGCAATTCCAAAGGCAGAAACCAAAACAATTGACTATTAAATCTTTGGGGAAAGGAAGCCATAAAACATAAGTCACTCTCCACTGTTATGGCTCAGAGCAGGTACTTGGGCTAGCAGGAATCAGGCCAGTTGGGACACCAACGTTCAACGTTACAATACCTGGGTTCAACTCTGGATTCTGCCCCTAACGCAGCTCGCTGCTAATACAGACACTGGAATGAGGTTCATGATGAGTTCTTATAACCCATTTTGGTGATATGGATTACATTCCCAGCCCCCAGCTTTGGCCTCAGTCAACCCCAGCTGTTACAAGTATTTATACAGTGAACCAATAAGCAGAAGCTCACTCTCTCAAAAAAAAAAAAAAAAATCTAAAGTGAGTGCTAGCAGGCCATTCCACAGACACGATCCCATAAACCATAAAAACAAATTTAGAGGCAATCAGTCTCTATCAGGTATAAAATAGGCATATTTTTCAAATTTTACAAGAAAACAGAAGGTATAAGATCTATATTTTACATTAGCGATGGCTTTCCCTAACATCAAATTCAGTACTAACTTCTAAGAGTATACTGTATACCTTTTATATACATGCATATACAAAAATATGAAATAACAGACTAGTCAATCACAAGATGTACAAGTACAAAAGAAAATCTATTCCAAGAGGTTTCTTTGTAGCACCTACAGACTTGATGTAACTATTTTTTTAAATATATTTTTATTTTGAATTTTGAATTATGTGGTACAATTTCATATAGATTGGGATTCTTCCCAAAACTCCCACCACCTATCAGATTTTCCCCATTATACAATGATGTAGTCCTTCATAAGGAATCATAATTCTGTCAGTCTCTTATTTAAGTGTACCCCGACAATGTTGGTACAGACAATGTCAGGTAGTCCAGCATCGTATTGTCTACACATGTCCAACAGTTTCACTGGGAATCCATCTTTCATCTGGAAGTAGGGATACATGTTCCATTATACCCCCACATCCATATATGATAGACCCCAGTACTCCATCACTATCATTATATATATAATATATAATTATATTTCCATAACTGAGAAGCCATGAAACAAGGTCAACAACTGGTATGAGTTAGAACAGCCACAGCAACAACATCAACAACAAATTATAGTACCATGAAAAAAAAAAAAACACCACTGAGTAACCAACACATGAGTGACAAAAAGGAAACACAAAAATCTCTTAGGAAAAATGATGCTGATGTGACTATTTTTTATAGTCACTATAAATGGACCAACTTTATCACTGGAGAGGAAAATAACTCATGGTTAAAAAGAAACTTAGAAGAAAACAGTACTCCAAATATTGGAAAATTTTTAAAATATCTATGATGATAAGAATTAACCTAGGTACTTTCAAGTAACAATGAATACAAAAGCCCAGGGCTTTTAATCGTGAAAAATATCTGCCTCCACTGACAGACCTAGAATAACCTGCAATTGTTGTCTTGGTTTGAAGTAGGATGCGAAAAAAAAAGTCCCTGAACTTTCTGTCTGTGTGGCAGTCCAGACTGAACAGGGATATAGCCTTGTAACCTAGGAGTTTAGGGTGGAAAATATTTTTATAATTTTTTTTCAGTAACAAAATTGCAATTTGGATCCATCACAGCCATCATAACTGGCTGCTGCTTGTCATCAGCAATACCAGGACTTGCAGGAAATAGGACTGAGATGACCCTGAGCTCTTCATTTATTTTGATTGTGGTTTACCTGAAATGAAGGTATTGTCTTCAAGGGAAAAAAAAAAAACATTGTCTAAAAATAAAATGCACTTAATCTCAAAAATTAGTTAAAAATAGATAAAATATTAGTTTTCAAAGGTTATTCAGTACCTCCTTAAAGAATTAATTTTAGGACATTTAAGATAATTATAAAATTGTATCATGCAATAAATTTGATTCACTAAATTGTTTTAACATGATTTATTAATAACTCCTACATATCTTAAAATATATTCCCAAAATATTATCTGAAATACGATAGCATAAATACCTTCTCTCTAAATGATGACATAATGAATACACCTTTTAATCTGGAAGAGACTGCTAAGAAAATTCATAGGTCACCAGCATACTAAGATTTTACTAATATCATAATTTCCTTATAATACATCACTACGAATTAGAAGCCAAAGTTATCATGCAAAAATGAATTTCAAAACACAACATATTATTAAATGTTAAATGTCTACTTTCAGAAAATATTCCTGTAAATAAAATTTCAATTTAAATAATGTTATTGCCTGTTAGGTATATACACAATTAAAATGCATTGTGCTTCTCTCTCTATGGGACAGCTGGCTTAAGAGTGGAAAGAGGTTAGACAGTGTGGTCAAACATTTTATCATTACGAGACATGCGAGAGTCTTAATCATCTCTGGTTCATTCAGCAAAGACCACAAATAACCCAAGTGCAATTTTATCAGTTTGCAGAAACTACCATTTTCATGCTTGTATCAAGTACATGAAGTTAATTCTAAAAAAAGTATAAACAATAACATTATATGATAAAAACTTTCAGTCATTTGCAAAGTACTTTTTGTTAACTTATTTAAAAAAAAAAACTTCTAAACTATTTTGTGGTTAACCAAAATAACTAGAAGTGTCAGAATAGAAATTGAACAATATTTTTAAAAATGATAATACCTTGTGAAGCATATTTTCTACTGTTCTCATGTGATTGGCAACGCATTCTTTGTCTCTAGAAAAAAAAAGATAACTAGCTTACATTATTAATATAAAAAAATCAAGGATGATTATCATTGGCATTCACTTAAAAGAACCAAGCCATGTTTTACTGATACACTTCCACATTTAACTCTACTTTCAACAATGTTGCCTGTCTTACATCACAGGGTGAGGAGAGGGTGGCAGAGGTGGGGCAGAAGTGATATAAAACTTTAAAAGCAAAAAAGAAAGTCCAATCACATTATTAAAATTTTTATTGAGTTATAAGAAGGTAAAAGACTAAAGTCATAGTGAGGAGGAGATATTATAAATGGCCATTATTATGCAAAACAGAATTTTTCTTCCTACAGTTTTTTGTGCTATAATAAATAAACACACACACACATTACACACACACCCCTAAGACCCAACTAGGAATATGCAAAGTTACTACCTTCTCCCATCAGCCTTGTTAATCAATCTTAGTCTTATAATAAAAATTAAACGTTTGAATTAAAAAATTAATGTTAAGTTCTAAATTGAAAACTATAAGTAATAGCTGTACAAATTTCAATTTAGATACTTGTAATCTCATAAACACCTGTGTCTATGGACACACAGACATGTCAAATACCTGCATTACCAGCTAAGATTAAAAGCACAGTATGTAGCTGGGGGATTTTCAAATGTGATTTCATTAATCTCAGAATTCTCTGAGAATTCTAAGACAGAAATCCACTAGGCTGGGCCTCTGATTTAACCCAGGGAAGTGAGACTGTTGAACAGTAATATCAAAATCCATTTAGTCAAACTTACACTTTAAAAACAGAAAGTGTCACTTAATACAGCACACACAGTTTTCACAATAATCATTGGTAGATACGCAAACATGTCAATTTGGGGGCCTCATGTCCAATCTGTCTTTTCACTAAGCCAGAGCAATGTCACAAACAAGTAGCAAAGCATATGGATAGCCTAAGATTATAGATATTCTTCATAAGATTTACACGACATCCATATTTCAAGGCATTTTATGTTTAACAAGTGTCATCCTCAAAACAGTTTTTAGTTAGTGTTTGTTTTTGCAAGGACAGGCATTTTAATTCTTTTGTTTATAAAATATTGAGTTTCCTAGTATCAAACATTTCTTTAATCCTTAAGTAGACATTCATTAAGCCATGCTATTATACAAAGGATTGTGTTACTCTGTGAAATTTGACGTGGGGAACAAATAAAATTGCCCAAGAGAATTGCTCAACTTAAACTTCACAGGTCATTTAAATTTGATTATTGAGGAAAAAAAAAATACTCCCATCACATATACATAGTTGTCTGAAGCTATATATATATTGTACTTAACATATTACAATATGTAGCTATAAAACCCAGAGAATTCCCCATGATCTGTATGTTTTCACTGCATGTTTTAAAACGCTACAATTCACATGTTGGTATATAATTAACACGGCAATATTAGTTCATTATAATGTAGGCAGAGCAAAATTTAGGAGGCATGGGGCAGAAAAGGACTATGTGACAGAAGACACCAGGCAAAAGTTCTAAATAAAGAATCCTGAATTTCACCTTAATGAAAACATGACTCCAGACATGAAGCACCACACCAGAGTCCGTAACGCATATAACGAGAGGCTATACGGGCACTTCTAGTTTTCTGAAGCTTCCCAATAAAAAAAAAATATATTTAGTATGGTTGAGTTAAGAGTTTTCTTCTTTTGAGGATATAACAGAGAATTTCAAAGAAAGACAGCTGTACTTTTGTTTTCTAACACTGTATTATCCAGGGCTAAAACCCGGAGCATGAAAGTAAGAATTGATCTTTTGTCTGTTTTAAGTGATCTCCCCAAGGCCCGCGCGCTCACTTGGCTGCCATGCGGAGGGCACTCTCCGCATCGTGGATGTTCTCCTCCAGCCGACGCTTGTCCTGCTCCAGCTGGGTGAGATGTCTATTGAGCTGACGTAGGGATTGATCTTTCCTGCGCAGCTCCATCTTTGCCTCGGAGAGACTCTGCAAGCAGACAGAAAACAGAGTTACTTGTCAGCCCTGATAATTAACTTCAATTTATGCCATAGGCTATTAAACAAAGAAGAATACAGACTGACTGAGAAGTAGACTTGGGTCATTATACAACAAGCTCTAACAAATTTTCTGCAAAAATTTCACATATTCCATCATCAGAAATGATAGCACTGGTGAGATTTTGAAAAAAAAAATATTTGACTACACAATAGAACTGCTATTTTTAAAAATATTTCAAGGCAAATAAATCCCTTTTTTTTATAAAAATACAGATTCAAGAAATCTCAGGTCGTGATTTCTTTTAATGAGAAAGATTTCAAAGAGGAAAGCACATCAAATTGTAAGTCTTTTTAACTGTAAACAGATTCAAAGTCAAAGAACTATAATATGCGCATGATGTATACCAGGACTAGGTTACATGCAAGAGAACTGTCCTCTCAAGATTTGAAAGTATCACTACTTTTTAATTAAAAAAAAAAATCTATAATAGATTGTTACATCTCCATGAACAAAAAAAAAAAAAAAGTGCTCCAGAATAAAATTCACTTGTTTCTCAGAAAATAACACAAAAGTGAGCAACGTGTGACAAGTAATGGACAGAGTTATAGACAAAACTTGCATTCAGAATTACCCATGTTCCATAAATATCTTCCTAGTCAAAGAAACATGAAATGTGTTCACTAATATCTGCTATTTACCTCAACTTGAAATACTGAGAACAAAAAAACTCCAAAATGTTAAGGGTATAATTTTATCTTGAAAGTTTAGGTTTAAGGTTTTAGAAGCAAAAATGCACAATTTAGAGGAGAATTTTCTACATCTTCTTTAAATTACTGGAATGTAAAATTGTATAGAAATCATAAGATGTCTTAGAGTTAAAAAAAAAATTAAAAACTGCTCATACCCTTGCCTATCAAATTTCTAAAATAAGGTTTTAGTTTTTACTGTATCTTTTGGACAATAAGCTTAACTAGCCAACTGTATACCCATAATATCTTTCTTCTTTTATTCATGATTTAGACATACATAACTAGCCCTGTGCTTTAAAAGATTGGTGAAGTAGAAATGCTATAATTTCATGTATAACACTCTTGCAACAGTCATCTTTTAATGTTTCACAATGAGTTGTATTTTAAAAAAAAATCAAGATGTACACATGGAACTAAAACAGTTAATTCGTTGTAAATGCTGGTGAACCAAAAGCAATCATCCACACGAAGGTATTTAAATATATTAAAAGTTTTTTAATTCAATTATTCACTTTTCAAACAGCTGCGGCGCTGTCAGACAACTATACATCAAAAAACGAAACACGGGTAATCTGTGCTTATTTATCACTTATTTTAAAGTATTAGAATATCTGCAAGAATATTCCACCAGGAAATAATCAATGATTCAAATCAACATTTAAGACATGATAAAGAACAGGCTTCTTTAAAACATTATCATCCTGTTTTGTGCCAATGTTAATAAAGATGGCTGAATGAACTAAAGTACAATAAGATTTCTTCATTTAAAATATCTGAATCATTTTAAAGTCTATTCTTTACATCTTTAAGGCAATAAAAAATGTTTTTTTCCAGACATGTATATAAAACTAATGATCCACCATGAGTTATGTAGAAGGCCTGGATTCTTTTTCCAACAGAAATAATACATTTCTCCCAACTCATCCAATTTCTCTTGCTCAGCAACTCTAAATAACAAGGGGGCTGAAGCACGTTGGGCGACTCTGAGAGACCCTTGTCTGACATTCTAAAATCACATCTGACCGCTCATCAATCCTATGATACAACTTCAAAGAAAATACAGCTTATTGATTATAATTTCTACTATGCATCCAAAGCTAACACAACTTCAGAACACAGAAAGGAAAAGTGGGGTGAACAAAGTGATATAAATCATATTTCCCTAACTATGAAGAGATAGAACAGCATGGGTGGCAGGAGGATATCAAAGCTATGTAACTTAGAGAGACAATCCTTTTAAAAACTTGAGGGACATATGCTTCAGGGGGATGTGTGCAGCACACACACTAACAGGGATATTCATGAATATGGCCTTTTTGTGAACACAAAAGCAGCATCTTTGAAAAATCTCTAAAGAAAAATGTATGTGTGTGTATCATATGTTTACATATTTACCTGTATCATACACAATATATATCATCTGTAAATTTTAAGTTCAGCTTTCCTTTCCTCCTGCCCAGACTGATCTAATTAAAACCCACGATAAATTTTATGGACTCTAATATTTTCAAGTGAATGGCTGAGACGAAGCGGGTGTGCCTCCAGGCAGCAAGGCAACAATGATAAGCAGCAGGTTAGCCACTAATTTCTCAACCAGGGTAGATTGTGAAAGTGTGATGTTCTGATATCCAAGAAACTGTTCAGGAGAGAATAGGATAAATCAAGTTTAATAACTCTGCTCCTAATTGTTCCCCCAATGCTCAACTCTAATTACTTGGAGAACTCTCCTGACTGTCACCTGATATTAAGTTGTTGGAGGCTGAGCCTGGAACAGCGAGATAATCAATAAACATTTAGTGGGGAGAAGAATGAAGATCCTGTTAAGCAGTGGGAACCTGCAGCACCCAAAGCCCTTCTGCTCATGAGAAAACCTGTGGGACAGCCATAGTGATTGCAAAGCAATAATCCAAAGCACTGTTTTTAGGCCTTGAGGCCTTTAGGCAACAGTACATTTGAGGAAAAAAAGGTTAACACGGTCACCCTAATTACAGCCCACTTTCACATACTTCATACATAAGCGAAGACAAGCCAATTAGGTAGAAAGGAAGATAAGGGAAGTTTTATTTGTATACTAATTAAACCCCTGATGAAATTAAAGGAAAAACATACAGCTCTGTAATTGTGTCTGAGAAAGGTCACTTCGGGTTCAGTTATCAGAGCAGCACAGCCTTGAGATACCTCACTTAATCCACAATACAGCCCTCATTTTGTACTTGGGTCTTAATATTTACCAAAAAAACGTAATAATAATAAATTCAAAGCCTGAAACAGAATTTATCTTTACATAGTGTTTTGAGCAATTTTAGCTGTTAGACAGTTAAATATGATAACAAGCTTCTTTTAAAAGACAGAAAAATACTGTACCTATACAAGAATGAGTATCACAGTTCTACTTATCAAAGAGTCCAGGTTTTATTGTAAATGTGATTTGTTTTAAGATAAATTTTGCAGCACTATAATCTCAAACTATTTTAAAAGCTTTCAGGCACTTCTTCATTGCATTTATTTTTAGGGACTGAGTCTACGCCCTGTTTCATGTGTACCTCTGATAGTATGGGAGCCAGCCAAGACATCCATCAATCTACTCCCATTAAAAAAAATTGCATCTGATTATTCTATTAAAATGATCATGAAAATTAAAAACTGTTTATACAAATTGAAAATGAGCACAAAAAAATATAGATGCACAGGAAGTAATCAAGTATAGTATATTTTAAAAGCTCAGGACTGAAAAATATAATAAATATGAATATTAAAACCCATACACGTTGCAATGTCTTTTTTCTTTTCTATAGTTTCTTAAGTTTCTATAGTAAACATATATTACTATTAAATAAGACCATAAATTGTTATTTTTAATTCACATCTAATTTATTTCTCAACTTTAAATGTCTATGATGGCCAATAATTCTCAAATTATAACTATAAAATGAAACTCTACTATTTTTTTCACCAATGAAAAGATATGCTGTAGTGGAAATTTTTTATCCCCAACATGTTTATTTAGACATAATTCACAGATCACACAATTCATTCTTTGTAAAATTCAGTGAGTTTCAGTACATTCAGAGTTTAAAAACCATCACTAGGAGTGGTCTTTGTGAAGTTCTTTGAAGCAAGAAGATATTAAATATGAGATTCTAATCCATATGGGCACCGGTTCTAATCCCAGCAGGCCCACTTCCCATCCAGCTCCCTGCTTGTGGCCTGGGAAAGCAGTTGATGGTGGCTCACACCCTTGGGACCATGCAGCCATGTAGGAAACCCTGAAGATGCTCCTGACTCTTGGCTTCGGACTGGCTCAGCTCAGCTGTTGCAGTCACTTGGGGAGTGAACCATCGGACGGAAGATCTTCCTTTCTGTCTCTCCTCCTCTGTATATCCACCTTTCCAATAAAAATAAATAAATCTTTTTAAAAAAATTACACAAGAGAAAAAGATACTTAAAAAAATGTGGATAATAGGATCTAAAGGTAACTATTCTGGTGCAAAGAATTTTGACATCTAAGCATGTGGTAAATATTATTTGAAAGGTATATTATGAAAAAACTGGGCATGAATTTCAAAATTATTTTCACCAATAAAGAATTCATTTTTCAAAAACATGTAATTTTTAATTTATTTTAAAGGCAGAATTAGAGACAGAAGGAAATACAAATTTTCATCCATTGGTTTACTCCTCAAATGGCTGAAAGAGTCAGGGCTGAGCCAGATGAAAGTCAGGAGTTTTATGCAGGCCTCTCCTGTGGCTGCAGGGGCCCAAACACTTGGGCCATCATCCACTGCTTCCCCAGGTGCTTCAAGCAGGGATCTGGATTGGAACTGGAGCAACTGGGTCTCGAACTAGTGTCAATATGGGAAGCCAGGAGTGCAGGAGGCAGGTTAACAAATTATACAATTCTGGTCCCTAAAACAAACTTATTTTGTAGTACCATTTTCCATGAACTCTCTAAAATATCCTCTCATACAAAGTTTATAATTTGATATACTAGAAAATTGATTAAATTAGCTCCTTGAATCAGAATACTTGATTAATAAATGCAATAGAGTATAAAAGCTAGTCATCTGAGAGGATTACATACCTCTCTGAGCAGTATTTCTAGATGTCAAAGTAATCACCCACCAGCGTTCTTTCTCAGAGCACACAAAACTGCAGTGGTGCAGGCCATTAGGCCCGTAGGAAGCCCAAGCCCCAGGGGATACCACTTTTATAGATTTTCTTTTGCCTGATGGGAAATAT